CCCATTAAATGGTATAACATTCGTCACATAATGATGACATTCGTCACATCTTCCTGGCTAACATGTGTGGTCCCATTGATCTTCGCTGGCCCCAGGGGCGCACTTGGTAAATGAAGAAGTTTGGATGGCTTGAATTTACCATGAGAACCTATGGAAATCACAATTTTTAATGGGAAAACAATGGAAAAATCACATTTTTTTATGGTAAACTAACAAAAAACTATGGACAGATCCACCATGCTATTCATGGGAAAACTCACTATTTCGACTGGGCCATTTTCCACAGCTAACTCTTAGTTTACCAGAGGGTACCATGAAACAGTGTGGGACAACTGACAATGAACGGGATTTTTCATGCAAAATGATGATAAAGATCATACTGTAGTTGCTTTATAATGGTATCACAGTATCTCATTTTTTGGACGTTGGTTCATATTATCGTGTTTGACTTGTGCTGTTTGATGGTTAGGAACATGAATTTTATTTTTTCCATATATTGGGAATAGGAACCCCAACTGACTTTCATATTTTTCAGAGGGGTAGGTATACCAGGCAGCGGCGGCTGGAGCTTCTCTACGAGTGCGGTGACGGTGCGCTGTCACAGAAGATGCACCGCATGGTGCTGACGCAGCCACTTGTCTGCGAGAACTTATTCCGGACGCGGTGGTTCCGCCGTAGCCAATCGATAGGCTCAGTGCCCATATACGAGGAATGGACGACCACGACACTCAACGATTTCGAAGACGCGGACCTCGAGGTCTGGGCACAATTGAGGCTCGCCAAGTCGTTTGCGCCACTACTGCCCACACGCCTGAACGTCCGAAGGAACCAGGCCGCAGCGATGGAAGGGCATTCCGGCTCAAAACAAAGTTTGCCCTTAGCGGGACGTCGTCACTCCCCGCGGGTTCTTCGCCATTTTCGTTGACTTGGCATTGGACCTTTTCCAACGTTTGTTAACGTTGTTGACTTTCACAACTGTCACTGTCATTGGCTTGACTGACAAGGGTGGTTTCAACAATCTATTCACTGGCCTTGATTCCTGATATCCAATTCAGCGGCATTGATTTCATCTGTTGCTATTCATTGGTGGTCTGGCATTGGGGTACATTGGATATTTTGATTTTTCTGATTTTATTGGAGGGGCCCCACTACTGACTGGCTCAACCTGGTTCTGCGGTGACCTTACACCGGATACAACTCCTGGTATTGGTTGCAACAATCGTGGATTTTTCTCTGGTTTATGAGCGTCAGACTTTTGTTGTTTTGGATTTTTCTGCAACAAATCAACATCGCCTCTGATTGCAAATCAGAATTTGTGCCCTACAACGACTCCGACACAAAGGAGAGCACACAGACGAGCCCGAGCCAAAGCGCGCAAGTTCTTACACCTGATCAAGAGAAGGCAAATCACTGCCTCACACCTCAGGATCTGGAAAGCCCTTCATCGCTTGGGCAACCATCACTCAAGAGACGCTGGACACATCAGCAATTTTGTATCTACAATGACGGAAGCCTCTCAAGCATGGAGATGCGCCACATGCATGAAAATTTGTGCAAGATCTCACCAATTTTGCGGAGTTTGTGGAGTTTCATGGCATCTATGTGCAGACCCGACATTCCAGGCAGGAAATCGGGTAGCCAAGGAGCAACGCCAAGTACAGTGGAGCTATGCTGCCGACTGGAACGATGCAAAATGGGATGGCCAATTCTGGCCGGAGGAGCACCAGGACAATGCACAATGGACGGCAGCCCCAAGACGTCGACAGACGCCCAGGAGAAGGCCATCCAGAAAAGCGAAGAAGCAAGATGTGCAACCACCGGGATCCCACAAAGGAAAGGGCAAAGGTGTGAACCTGGACATGGAAGGTTTTGGTCCTCCAGCTCTTCCGCAGAATGTCACAGAGCCACCCTGGCTTGCAGCTATGAACACCCTTGCGTCAGCGGCACCGCCTCCCTCACAGGCAGCGCCAGAGGATCGACAGCTGAGAACCATACTGGCAGCTCTCAAAAAGCACAACGATGTGTTACCACCGGAATTGCAAAATATGGTCAACGATGCAGCCATCAAGGAAGGGCAGCAGCAGACAAAACAATTGCATGCAGTGGTAACGGCTCATGGAAAGGCACGCAAGGAATTGCAGCAAGCACAACTGGCGAGATACAATTTGCACAATGCATGGAGGTCCTTCCTCAGCCAAGCGGTGACGCAATGGCAGGGCTACAGCGCTCAATTCATGGAGCAAGAGAAGCAAATGAACGAGCGAGTCACTGCAGCTCAAACCGCACTGGAACAGGCGAGGGAATCCCTGGCCACAGCCAAGGCGTCAGCTGGCATAGAGACCAAGGACGACACCATGAATGTGAGCGACGAGGAGCAGGACAAGGATCTCACAGGCACGGCATCCCACCGCATACAAGAAGGCCTGACAAGCTTGCAAACAAATCTCGAAGCGCTGCAACAGTCAGCAACACAGATGTTGGAAGACGAGCAAAAGGCCCTCAAGAGACCAAGAATCGAAGAAAAGCCAGACAATGGTGCCAAGCCATCCGAGCCCTCTGCTACAGTACCGGGGTTTGGTTAGGCCGAGTAAATACTAGCCCGGAAAGTATTGCTCCATGGCCTATGCATCCTCAAGTGGACACACAGCGTTCTTGAGGAGCCCAGTTTTGTTTCAGAGTGGAATGCAGCTGACATAGCTTTTCACCTTGAATGGGAACTCAACATGCAAACTAGGACTCCTGCTCTGTCTCAACCAGTGTACAGGAACCGATCTGCTCAGCCGATGGTCTCACAGGTCACCTTTGCAGATGCAGTAAGCATTAGAATTGGCCACTTTGATTGTGACGAAGTTCATGATTATGTAGTCTCCACTAGTGCACTGCGGCATGCTCAGAAACCGTGGTCATTGTATGGCTCGGATGCAACCTGTGTCCATCAGTTTCCCACACGCCCAAGAAAAAGGTCCCGTACATCGAGGCGCATTGAAAAAGATAAGAACCTGAATGTTTCATTGGCTCAAACCCCAAACACTGAGGTCCATGCAGCACCAAAAGGAACAGCTTCACAGGCTCTGATTTTGTCCGATGCAAGCACCTGGAAATCAGCAGTGCCAATAGAGCCTGCAACACTGAATGCTTGCATCCAGGAACCTGATGCCATCCTGTTGAAGCGCAGTTTTGACCAGCAAGTTGTGTGTAGACATGTTTCACCCAGGTTCTCCCTTGCCAATACTGCCTTAGCATCCGATGCATCCGATCCAATTTGCCGCAGTTGGACACCCTCGAAGCAGCACCAATTGCGCTCTCAGACACTGAGAAAATACAGCCAATTAGGACAGATGTCTCAGCAGAACGGTATTGTGGAAAATTTTTCAATGCTGGACCTCCGAAGCCACCGTCGATATTGCACTTTGCAGCCCCATGTCAAGACAGGCAACAATTTTGCTCAACCAAAAGTGGAATCACCCAGCATGGACGGCAACCGATCACTTGTGTTTGCTCACGTGCACACCAATGGACACACTGCACATTCACCCAGGTCCCGATGTGCGACTTATTCAAATGGTGATCCCTGTGCTGTCAGTACATGCATTGACCAAACCAGGCTCGAACATGAAAGCCCAATCATTCATCTAACTGGCTCAAACCAAGCAGGGGATGCCACAGATGATGACAACATGGACGAACATGATCAACCGATATTGCCAGCATTTGTCAATCATTTGACCAACAGGCTTGAGGCACTTGGACTAAATCCCCATGACAATGACTTTGATCTTCCAGTAAGAACTTGGTACATTGATCACCGCACCATCCATCGCTGGACAGCCCCCAGGTTACTGCAACTTGTTGGACCCCCACGTGGATGGGAGGCACAGATTCAATCCATCTGGGTTGATCAAATCAACACAGAGGACTGGTTTGATGTCATCATCATTGAACCTGACCCACCAAGGCAGGCTCAGCATGCATTTGTCGTGTATGATATGGTGGTAACACAGTCCCTCGAAATGCCAAGATATGCCGCCATGGTCACTGTCCTTCCGAGTCGAGCCAACACGTTCTCAATGTTCTCGGTTGCATGCTCCTTACCAGAAATGGTCAGTGGCTATGACCTTGTACAGGCTGCAGACGCAGGTCGCAACTGCAGGCATGCTGAATGCTTGATCACATACCGATGGATGCAAATACCCAATACACTCAGACCCACCCACAGAATGGGTCACGGAGATGGTTTTCAAATTGCGGTCCATCATGATCAGCATCAGGATGTAAATCGCAGGCATGATGACACCAGCTCATCTGACCTCACTGCTAGCCCTAGGTACTCCCCCGGCAGGCCTGAACCATCCGCATCCAGTCATCAACCGAACAGGTTCACTACAACGCTGCACCTGTTTCAATTTCAAGGAGCTGAAATTTGCCATGAACTAGTCAATGGTCAGCGTATCCAACCAACACAGGAAATTGCAGATGCGTTGCAGATTCCATTTGATTGCTTGGAAGCCATACATGTCATGCCCAACCCGCCTTATCAAGTGCCAGACTATGAGATTGCCGCAGTTGTCCAACGCACAGGTGATCTCGCCATCCGCACAACTGACAGGCTGTTACTGGTAGATATCCTTTACCACCACCATCCCACCAGTGAAGGTATCTCACATCGGCCCACGCTGGTAAGGGAAGTGCACAGGGTTGGACATCAGATTTTGCGACAGCAGATCATGTTAGCGGCAGCAGTTCATCACTACTGCATCATCATCTCCAACGACTGTACAGTCACGCTGGACAATCAGCTGTGGCCTGAGGACGACCCTCATCCGAGAGCTGTCCGCCATGGATCCTATGCACTGGTAGTGGTCCCGCCACCGAGCACACATGATGTTCCAACACCGCAAGCTGTTGAAGTTGTCCAGCAAATGGTTGATGATGACAGAATCATGCATGACCTATTTGGGATCCAGGAACCAAACCAAGAGGATGACAGCAATGACGAGGCCATGCTTACGCAACTTGCGTCCAAGTTCAGGCACAGCACCTACCAGGTCCTCAAGCTGCCCCGAAGCATCGGTAATGATGATGTCATAAAGCGACCACAAATTAGCCACGAGCATCGCCCAGCCACCAGTCGCCTCGAAGTGGGTGCGGTACTGCAGACGAAGTCTGACCTGAACCCCCACAAGCATTCGCATAGCTGGGATCTTACAACTGCATCCGAAGTTGCCCAAGATGCGCATATCTGCCAGCCAGGCGAGCTTTCCGGACCTGACCACAATGGTCACAGTAACTCCGAGACTCAACATCACAAGCTGGCAACACTGGACCAACTACCCAATGGTCCGAGGGAACCGCATGCAAGCTCCAAAATGCGTACGGTTGCATCCACATGCAGGGGTCAACAGAACCCCACAGAAAAACTTTCGCACCAGAAAAAGATTTCTGATTTCTTTCAACAGTGTGTGAAACCGATTGCCAAGAAAGGCTCTGCCACGCAGACGACCATTCCTCATTTCTTTCAACCCACGAAGAAGCTGCAACACCAGGATCTGCCCAACGAGCAGGACCTTCCTGTTGCCAAGCCCCAGCAGGCCAATGTTGAAATGCAGATGATGAGTACAGGCAATCTTGAACAGGCAGTGGATAATAGCACACAGCACGCCCTTGAAGCACGTGCCGCCCCATACCATCATGCTGACCCTCCAAGTTTTGTCACCAACAGTCCAAATGCACCAATTCAGGGACAACAGCAGAATGCACCACGACCCCGGCCACTTTGGCACATTGAAGTCAATGGGCTCTTCCTTGAACATGGAGAGGTTCGGCACCCGGAGACTGGCCCAGAACTGGCAGTGGAGGTATGGTTTGTACATCACACGAGAATGCCCATATGCAGAGCTCCACGCTTGATCTGGCTTGACAACATCCATGAGTTGTGGTATGCCGATCTATGCAACGCATGGTTCGATCAAATCCAAAGGCATCAGCCGTTGCGTGTACATATCGTCAAACCAACACCACCGTATCAACTACGGCAACAGGCCATGGTCCACATCATCCTTGAGCAAGGCATGGCTCCACATAAAGCTGCAATTCTATTTACAGCTGCTTTTCATGGAGGCACCAGGACAGGCATATTGCAGCAGGCTGAATCCTCACCCGATCAAATCTCCACGGAGCAGATGATTCACGATCATGCCCTGCAACAGCAATGCACTTTCCGACCTTGTCATCTATTCTCTGGGCGCTTTCGATTTGACTACAGTACCGTGGAGAGAGTCCCATCCGGAATCAGTGTCCTGCTTGATGTAGGTGACCATCGTGCAACAAATCCCAGTCGAGGCTCAAGAGATGCCATTCATGCCAATGAACCTTCAATTGACGATGCCAGCAGCGAGGACGATGACAGCCAGCCCAGTGAGGACACCCTTGCGCTCATGCAGAGGCCCAAGTTCAAGGCTTTTCCCAAAACTAAAGCCCCCTCGCTGGCGGTTGCTGGACAGAGTTCAGCCACCGACCCACCAGGTCCAATTGCGTGGTTTCATGTACATCGTGCCCTCCCAACCGGTGGAGTTGACCAGCATCAGCCCATACAGCGAATGGTCATCCAGGCCAGGAACCTTGATGAGTTCCACCAAATGCTTCAATGGCAAACTCAGCGTGCCAGTGAAGCCTGCCTGATGCCGTCAAGCCGTAGTACCAAGATTGAATCATGGTTCTCTGACCCCACAACCTTGCCAAGAAGTGACCATTCAAGGGAAGTCACACTGTCCACCAGCCCTACACAATGGCCAGTGGACGTTTTACAAAGATGGTCCGATTTCATTCAACCAGGTACACCCGTCTACCTGTTTGTTGTTCAGCCAGACCCACCAGGGGGGCAACCAGATATTATCGCACATGTCATTGTTGCCCAAAACCCACCTGCTGACCGTTTTGCAGCAATCGTATCGGTCACGGAGCTTCTTGATGACCCATGGCATCCGACCAGGTTCTGTGCCTTGCTGCCCAACCCGGTATCACGTAATGAATTGTTTGATTTGGCCGGCATCCCACCTGACCAGGTAGCAGCAACCCCAGGAATCGGTGCTTACCATGGCAATGCCCCCATACCAGAAGGTAGTTCATACCCAGTTAAGCACGGTTTTGCCTTTGAGGTCATCACCGATACGCTGGAGTTTGAGTCAGATGCCACCACACTCTGGCAGCACACCTTGCAGGCTAATGGTCAGGTGCCGGTAATGCCAATCACCAGAAAGTTGGCTGTGCCAGCAGCTCAGCGGGTCTCCAACACACTACATGACGATAACATTAAAAGCCAACAGAAAGCCACATCACCACTGCATGGGTCTGAACCTCAGATCACGCCGAACGAAGCCCCTCAGTACCAGGTAGATGACACAGCCGAGTACTTGAGTTTTGTCCAGCTTTCGTTTCAGTCCATCCATGATGACATGATGCAGATACATGCTGTCACCAGTGATCCCCTCAAACCAGTGTCGAACCACGAGGACACCTGGAACATGATCGCTTGCACAGCCAGTTCAACTACCCATTGGCACGACGCACACGACCTCAAAACTCAAAGCGAGGTTGGGACGATGATGATAGGACCAGACATCATTCATCGATGGCACCACCTTGCCGCCTTGAGACCACCAGCAGCTTCCATGATGGCACCCATAATCACTTGGATGATTGATCATGAACGCTTTCCTCAATGTTTCCGGCCGAGAGAGGTTTTCATCAACCTTCACCCCCATGCTTGGCAGGACACAATCAAACGTGCGTGGAATGATGTGCTACTCCCAAACCAACCAGCAGAAATTACACTGGTTCAGCCCCACCCAATCTACATGGAGGCTCATGTAGTTGCACATGTTTTGATCACCCAACAGCAACAACCAGGCTTTACATCGGTTCTGCTTACCACGCTGGATAGCTCCATGCCACACTCCCACCGACGGCATGCCACCATTGTCCCAACGGCACTCAGGCGTGACACCCTGCTGGCACTGGCCTTTATTGCCCAAGACTGCAATCATCCAGATAATGTGTGTGACACTTGGATCGGGGATGCTGAAGTTGATCCCATAATCCCTTATCCAGTTACACTTGGCCAGTCGTGCACAGCTGCAATTCACAGACACCACAGACCTGAACCACAGGACCCAGACCCATGGGAGGCCAAGGTCCCTCTCAACAAGGAATTCAGAGTCAAGCTACACCTGCAGGCATCCATTCCGATACAGGCAGACGCTGTGCCCGTCGATGCCACATCGGAAGATCCTCAGTTGTTATGGTTTGCCAACGAAGCCTGGAAACACGCTTTGGAAGCTGAAGACCCGTGCACGCTCTTGCCACTGCCTGACGGGCTACATGTGCCAGACCCATCCTACTGGGCTCTCCTGCAACCACCACTGTGCCATGATCAAGAAGAGGTCAACTATACCCTCTACTTGGATGGCGCCGCCAATGGTACTGATGCAGGATGGAGTGTGATAGTAGTGGCCAACATGCAAACCACAGAGCACTTCCTAGGATGTGCCTACGGCACAGTCCAACTAAGCTCCATGCAGCCAGATTGGGTAGGGGCAGAAACAGCAGACAACATTGCTGCAGAGCTATCCGCCATGCTCTTTGCGCAAAATCTGATCATGCGCTGGCAGGAAAACACCAAAGCATGCATACGGCCTGACTTGTCACTCAGCAGAACGGTAGCAACAGCTGCTACTACATGTAGGTCCAACAAGCTCTTAGCACAACTGTGCTGTGCCTTGGGCCTATGGTTGAGCAAGCGGGTCACAATCCAGGAAGTACGGGGTCACCAAGGACATGCATGGAACGAATTGGCCGATGCAGTAGCCAAGTGGGCAATGCAACAACACAGCAACCCACTTCACAATAGTTTTGCCCAGCTTCACCAATTGGCCTCCAATCCCCATGACGTCAACTGGACCTGGATGCAAACTACCCATCCTGCAGTAGCCGCATGTTTTCCGCCCTTGCTCCAACAGCAAGTGATGCAGTTCACTAAGCCAACATGCAAACTAGGTGTGCTGCCCACAGAACGGCTCCAACCAGCCGACACAGTTGAAGGATCCCCATGGCACATCCAAATGTGTACTGCCAACGTCCTTGCCACTGAAACCTGGTCAGCACAACATGCAGGCTCTAAAAGAACTGGTCAACGCACCCTACGCCTGGATGCTCAATGGCACAATGCCAAGGTCCACATCATCGGCATCCAAGAAGCCCGAACCGCCCAGGGCAGGTTTCATGCACCGCATTACCATATCATGGCCTCAGGTGCTAAGCACAAAAGAGCACCGTTATACGGCTGTGAATTATGGGTCCACAAAACCCTCCCTGTCGCAACCGACAAAGGAGGACGCCCAGTGGTCCTAGGAAAAGCTGTTTTCACGGTACAGCATGCCGATCCACGCAGGCTCCTGGTTGAAGCCAAGCTCGGACGTGCCACATATGCATTCGTGGTCCTACATGCCCCCAGCCTGGCCACCCCGAGCCAAGAGAACCCAAATCCGGTTCACGACGTTACACAATGGTGGAATGACACCAGTGCCCTGTACACCCAACACGTCACAGCCAAGGACCAATGGGTGTTCCTCGATGCAAATGCACCCCTTCCCCAGGGGGATGGAGACCTTATTGGACCCCACGGGGCTGAAACCAGCAACAAGGCGAGTGAACTGCTGATTGAATTCATCGAGCAGCACCAGCTTGTGGTCCCATCGACATTTCCCCAGCTCCATCAAGGGCCCACCGCAACGTGGACACACAGTACGAGGAAAAAAAGCAGAAAGGATTATGTGATGGTATCCCGATCAGTGTATCCACTGGCTACAAAAAGTTGGGTCGATGTCAAGCATGACACGACCTTTGCCCACGAAGACCATCTCCCAGTCTTCCTCCAATGCCAGGGATGGCTGGAGGCATCAACAACCATGCCACCCACCTGCTGGGACGACCAAGCCATGTTGGATCCCCACAGGCTACAAGCCTTCCAGTCAGCCTTGCACACGCTGCCACTCCCGGCCTGGCACACCCAAGTTGATGACCATGCAGCCATCTTTGAACGTCAATTGCTTACCCTCGGCCAACAGTTCTTTGCCAAACAACCAGGCAAGCAAAGACTGATCCAGTTAACAGAGAGTACCAAGGACGCCATTGCCTTCAAGCGGCACATCCTTGACTATGGACGCCAGCAACAATGTATGCACCATGAGGACTTCAAAACTGAACTCCGAATCCTGGAAAAAGAAGTTGCACGGCGGGTCAACCAGGATATACAACTGTTCTATACCGACCTTCTTGCCCAACTGCAGTCGTCAGGGGAGATCTCCAACCAGAAGTTGGTGTACAAGCTACTGCACCGACTCGGCCGCAAGAGAGGGGCTGGAGCTGCCGGTCCAAGACCATTACCAATGCTGCAAAAGCCTGATGGCACAATGGCTCAGTCCTATCTCGAACAACAACATACGTGGATGAAGCAGTTCTCCCACATAGAAGCTGGCATTGAGAGAACATGGGAAGAAATGACCATGCAGCATGAAGCCCAACAAGCAAACCCCCAGTGCACAGACCTTGAGCCAGCTGCCTTTCCAAATGCATGGCAGGTACAGCAGCTCATCTCGCGCCTGAAAAGAGACAAAGTCCCGGGCCCCAACCAGCTGCCGCCGGGCCTCCTCAAAGCAGGAGGTAGTGTGCTTGCCAAACACCTGACGGTCCTCTTCACCAAAGTTGCTGCAGGATCCACTGAGACACTACATTGGAAAGGGGGTGTCCTTATCCCGCTGTGGAAAGGGAAATTGCCACCCCATGTGGCAAGCGGCTATCGAAGCATCTTTCTCTCGAACTACACTACCAAGCTATATCACCAAACGTTCAGAGCCCATTTGGTCGATGCATGGGAACGTAGTTTGATGCACCTCCAATGTGGTGGCCGCAAAGGAGTTGGCGCTGACGTAGCCCACCACATTGTGCAATGCCACCAATCCTGGTGTAAGCAGAAAGCAGTCCCCTCAGCCGCCCTGTTCTTCGACTTGAAGTCGGCTTTTTACATGGTCTTGCGACAAAGCTTCACCAGTCTTCCGTCGCACGACGAGGCATTCATGGAGGCTATGCAACGCTTTGGACTCACACCCGGTGAAATACACCAGTTGGTTGCCACAGCTAACGAGGATAATGCCACGCCCGGCCTAGCACTCCACTTGCAGCATGTGTTGCGTGACCTCATGCAAAACACATACTTCACTGTTGCTGGCCTCATCAACCCGTGCCAGACCACACGAGGGACTCGCCCAGGATATCCAGTAGCGGACATCCTCTTCAATCTCTGTATGTGCAGAATACTGAAAGATTTCCGTCAGGAGGTGGAAGCCAGCTCCAACCTCCCTTGGTTGGGTGACGCCACTCCTGTCAATGATTTGGAGCAAATCCCATCCATGCCACCAGAAGGGTTTGTCGATGTTACCTTTGTTGATGACTGCGTGGTCCTGCTTCACGGCCGCAGCAACGACCGCGTTGCCCAAGCCATCCAAGTGCTCGTGACAGCCCTTGACAAAGCACCGGCACAACGCGGCCTTAGCATCAACTTTGAACAAGGCAAGACCGAGGTCCTGTGGACGATACTGGGTAAAGGAGCACGTGAACAGAAGCGTAGGCTCCATGAAGATGGACAGCTCATCCAATGGATGGCAGAAGGCAAGACCTATACCCTGCATGTGTGTCACGCTTACAAACACTTGGGCACCTGGGTCCAAGCACACCACAGACACGCCAAAGAGGCCCTTGCCAGGGCTGCTGCGGCAAAACAGCAATGGGGGCAGTTAGCTCGTTCATTCTTTACCAAAAGGGCTATCACCATCCCGGTCAAGAGTGCTGTGTTTCAAAGCCTGGTGGTCTCAAAGATGACGTACAACGTACATACATGGACATCAGTCACCCAAAAGCAGCTTGACTCATGGGTGAACCACCTCAAAGCTCCAGCTGGAACACTGCTCAAGGGGTTATTGATGCCGGCTACAAGGTACCAGCACTCCACAGACGAGATGATGGCGTTTGCAGGACTCCTTCCCTTGCAGGACCAGGTGCATGCCAACAGGTTGAGGTTCCTGGCCAGACTGTTGCAAGCCTGCCCACAAATCACTTGGACTTTGCTACATGCCACCCAACATCAACACTCCTGGATTGAGAGTTGCCTAGATTCGTGCCAGTGGCTCCTCAAGCACTATGACCGTCGCCTGCCACTCACCGAAAACTCACAGTTCTTGGACTGGGTCCGCTTTGTCCGGCTCGACCCCAACTGGAAAGGACGCATCAAAAAGACATGCAAACTTGCGCTGTCCTTTCATCGGTCCAGAGCAGAGCATGCCATCTGGCAACGCCACTTCAATGCCAGGCTCACACAAGCAGGAGCAACACTGCCAGACAAAGCCAAGCCAGCAGCCATCCAAGACCGATGGCAATGCGACTTGTGTCAAAAGGTATTTGCATCCACTCGAGCACTAGCCATGCACGCCACCAGAGAACACGGCTATAAAAAGAAAGTCAGATACTATGCCACAGGTGACACCTGCCAGGCCTGTTGCCAAAACTTCCACACTCGCAAACGCCTCTCGGTCCACCTGGAGAAGCAAGCTCGGTGTTACAACATCGTCACCAGTTGCTGGCCACCGCTCCCCGCAACGCAGGTCCAAACATTGGACGATGAGGACAGAACCCATGAATCCCAGCTGCGCAAACAGGGATGGTGGGCGGCCAAAGCCTTCCAACCTGTGGTGACGGTGCAAGGACCGCCACTCCCACCAGAAGGAAGCCCAGAGGCACAGCTGATGTTTGATCGCATGCAACGGCGCCGGCCCAGTGATGTGGTGGCCTACACGCAGCTTCAGGGCACCAAACTAACACAGCTCCCAGATGGCCCAAAGAAGCTGTGGTGGACCAATGATGACTTGCCTGCATTCATCATGCACTCTGTCCAAGGCCCTGACGCAGCGGGGGGTGCCTTTGCCATGTGGGGCTTGGCCCGGGAGACAGCCGCCTTGCACATACGTGCATTAGTTGTGGTGCACTTCTTCAGCGGGTACCGCCGTATGGGTGACATCCATCATGTCGTCGACCACTACGCGGCTGAAAATGGCTCTCACATCTTCACGCTGTCGGTCGACCTTTGCATGCAACGACAAAGTGGCGACCTAGCCACCCCTCAAGCAAGCAAATGGTGGAAGGAACGCATCCTCAGTGGACAGGTTGTCGCAGCTGGCGGCGGACCCCCATGTGAAACGTTCACAGTTGCCCGCCAGTACGACGGCGGCCCCCGCCCATTGCGAAGTGCACAGCAGCCACATGGCCTGGCTGGCCTCACTCACAGAGAATGGTGCCAGCTTCGCATCAGTGACAGACTGCTCAGGTTCCTGTTAGATATGCTTGTCACCCTTGCCATGATGGGCCTCAGCGGCTTTCTCGAGCATCCGCAATTTCCAACGTGGTGCAATCGGGGCCACCCGGCCAGTATATGGGCGATGGAAGCCCTGAAACACCTGAAACGCCTCAATTGCTTCTCCGTTGTGAGCTTTGATCAGTGCGTGGTTGGCGCTGTGGCCAAAAAACCAACAACGTTGGTCCTCCTGCGCATGCCTGACGTGCGCGAGCAGCTGATGAAAAGAGGACACAGTGGCCGTTGCAATCACCCAGCCGGGTCCCACTCTGCCCTCATTGGGCGCCAAGAGGATGGCACGTTCAACACTGCGAAAGCGAAAGTGTATCCATACGGACTCAACCGCATCCTGGGAATGGGGCTGTTCAAAGCAGCGGAAAGATGGGTGTCCGTGGCCACTGACACGCAGTTGCCGGCGGAGCTCACACCCTACCTCGAGCAAAGCTGCCACGATGAAAGCGTCGTGCAACCAGACTATCATGGCGGCAAGGGCTAAAAGCCCCAACTTATGCACGCAGCGACCCAAGCACCAACACGGTGCAGCAGAGCAAATGGAAAAAAAAAATGGGGTAGGTATACCACCAACAAGTATGTGTTTTCCAAAATTTGTCGCGGGCAGTACTGGAAGCATCTTTTTTTTTGGAATCCCCGAACCACACACGTGGCACCGTGTGGTTCCAAACATCACACTTGCCCGGCACCTGGTGTTTAACACTGCTCCTGTAACTGTATTCATTGGTTTACCGGAAATTTTGCAGGAAACCCCCATGCTTCATGTTTTTAAATATGTAACATCCATGGTTTCCGGTGAAGATTTTCCCAACAAAACAAATCCAATGACGTATGTGTCTAATGAAAAGCTGTATTTGCTACACGATTTGGTTTGATAGGAACGGCAGAACGTTGGATTATATCGGATTCATATCTAACGCTAAGTTATTCACTTACACTCCCCCAAATTAACAAATAGGGGATTGGAAGGTGACTCTTCATTAAAACGTGTCATATAGCCATTACATAGCCCTTCCATAGGCCTGACATAGGCCTTATATATGTGGTACTGGTAGGTCCCTTCAATACATCGGTAGCTGCAGTCACTGACTATTCTATTCCCATTGTGCCCCTGCTATACCCTCATAAAATCACAATGATCATTAAATAATAATCATTTTAAACTAAATTGACTTTTAATGATATCATGAGGTATATCATTTAACCTTAACATGTTATATTGCTTTTGATGGTATATTAACCTGTTTTACCCTTTTGTTTATTTCGGTTGGTCACTGTCAGGTCTGAATTGGGTGGTCTCTGTGGTCGATGTGGGCAGTTTTGCCGGGATGGTCACGGGCCTCCTCGCTGGGATCTACGGGCAGAGCCGGATTTACTTCGTGCCTCGGCATGCCGGGGGGTGCGCTCGCGAAGGGGGGGGCTTTTTTAAACAGCAAAAATGGGGGATGAACCAAACAGACGTGGTGATTTAAGGGACGAACATGTGGATTTAAGTGAGTTTAGGTGGTAATTAGAACATATTAGAACTCCAGGATTGTTTTTTATTGTAGATGTATCAAACTAGTTGAAGGTTTTTTTTGAGGGTTGTCATCCTAAAAGAAAATTTTCTGGGGGATTACCAACTTGTAGGGGCTAGCGACTAGCCTGTCCTTGTGAGGAATATATGGAAAGATCCCTATCAAGAATGGAGGTTCCTACTGAGTCTCTCAATTCTTTGCAAGTCGCAGTGACAGTACACCGTCCCAATAATGTTCTTTTCGAAGCATCGAACAAAAAAAACGGTTCATAAACAGGCAATGTTGCAGTTATGTTGTGGTTGGTGGTTGGAATAATATAGTTTATAGGGATTTTCTCGGGATTTTCTAGGGATTGACAGTGATTTATCTGGTGGGTGGTTTCAAAATATGGGATAATTCCACCAACCATTGACGAACTCCATCATTTTTCAAGATGTTTATTTCACCACCAACCAGTGTTGCATAATCATACTGCTATAGATCACTCCCGGATCGAGCTGTCCGATCTAAAATCCTTAAGCATCGGCGTGTCAGGGCCACATCTCCAAGCATCTCAGATCAAGATCTGCACCGTTTGATGGTGTAGTCTCATTTCTGCCGTAGTCTCATTTCTGGTGAAATCCCAGTACCGAGGGTCAACAATTGTTGATCGGACTCATGTGTATGCAAGCATGCGTAGGTGCATTTGAGCAGAAGTTGGAAGCTCGTGGTGAGCTGCAGCTCAAGACTTCGAGGAAAAACGTGGACGTTGGAATGCTGTGCCATCGACTCCATCATGGTGCTTTGGGACAAAATAATACCACACTCCGAGCCATTCCGGCAGGCCTCAGCATCTGCTGCGCTTGACCATGAACCAAGCCCCTGCTCATGATGTAGCCCGCTTTAAGACAAGATGCAGCGGCTACGCTGGATGAGCTGTGACTTCAGGGCGCATTGCTGAGGCGTAAACACAACTGTGCATGATTCATCAGTGCTGACCACTTTGAGTGCCAGAAATGGCATGTGTTAACTACAACTATGACTGGCCTAACCCTTGCTCATGCTGCTTGCCTGATAGATGAGATCAACAAGTACAACCAATTCTATTTCGATGCGGTGATGGTTATATGTATGGGACCCTTCGAAACAGCTTGTTTTCCACTTCCAAATTGGCTAAATCATGGCTTTGATTGATTGATTGATTGATGATGACATCCTTTCATTATTTGTCCCATGAGTCTCCAAAGTTTGGCTTCTGAAGTCCCAATTTTCCTGATCAAAACTCGTTGCAACTTTACAAATCCTGCTTAATTATTGGTTGCACCCCTTTCTGGGTAGTTCAAACTTGTTTCATGTTCCATCCGATTTGGGATGATGATCTCCATTGATGTATGATGATTTATGTATCCAGATATGTCTTGAAACCGCCAACTAGAGAAGAAAAGCACCAAGTACCCTCTGGTTATTTAACATAGCCATGGCAAATGGCCCAATTATAGATGATTGTCCTATTAACACCTGCATTTTTAAGGGATTTTCCATGGCTATGTGAAATAACCAGATGGTATCAACAATGTCAAGACGTGACTAATGACCTGGAAGGTTTGCTCATTAGTGAAATGAGAATTTAATCAGCACTTCGGACCCACTTTTGTTTCTGACGTGCAGAAGGAAATGTAACCTTAGAGAGAGTTCCAACAAGAACGTGATTACGGGGCTCGTGAAACGTTCAATACTTCTATGAAACGTGCAATACTTCTATGCCACGTGCAATACTTTATGCAACGTGCAATACTTCTGCGCAACGTGCAATACTTCTATGAAACGTGCAATAATTTTATGAACAGTGCAATACTTCTATGCAACGTCCACCTCGAAAAAACATTGAAATTACCCAGGTCGTAAACGACGTCTCCAGCATCAACTTAGCAAAAACATGACATGTGGCCGCTCTAGTATGAGATTAGTTGAACAGTGAAAAATTGGGAGGGGAAAACCAACATGGTTTATCATAATGTGTTTTCCAAGTAAAACGCGATGTCGTTGTCCAAGTATTACTTTTTGCATTTTTTCAACCCCCAAAAAGATGGCAAAGTGCCCGCGAAAGTCACTAAAATGGTGGTACCCTCTGGTAAACAAACATGGCTATTGAAAATTGCCATTTATGGTTGAGTTACCCATCAAAAAGTGTGACCCCCCATCATTAGTTATGTTAGTTTACCGGAGGGTAAATGACTTGCCCCATTGTTGTGACTCCCCATCGTTGTGATTCCCCTTGTGTTGGAATATCAGTCTATTTTAGTGGGCAATCCGAAGTCTTGGGTATTTACCACCATTGGCAAAACAGCAAATCAGTCTACCAGGTAGTATCATAACTGCGAGGTGGTGCCCCAGTTCGTTAGCTAAGTTGGTGAACATAACTGCAATAACTTTGGCTTATAGGTGATATATCTATAGTTAATGGGCATATAACCAATTTATAACGGGGGGGGCACCACATTGTAAACATCAAACACTTGTATTTAAGCATCATAGGATATAATGTCTACCTCTGATTTATAAACCTGGGCCCCCCCCCCCTCTTTTACCTCAAATAAAGTTAAAAACTTGTTTGTATGTATTGGTTTTCAATTACCACAATTTAAAACGAATACATAAACAAAATTTCCAAAAAAAACAGGAATCCAACAATTGTTTTAGTATTGGTTTAGTATTCATCTCATGGATTTAGTATTGATTTAGTATTCATGCCATGGATTTAGTATTGATTTAGTATTCATGTCATGGATTTAGTATTGATTTAGTATTCATGTCATGGATTTAGTATTGATTTAGTATTCATTTCATGGATTTAGTATTGATTTAGTATTGATTTAGTATTGGTCCTTGGTTTAGTATTCATTTCATGGATTTAGTATTGATTTAGTATTCATGTCATGGATTTAGTATTGATTTACTATTGATTTCGTATCTGGGTTTCGGGCCAAAAACATTTAGCTTTATTCAGGGTCAAACTCTAATTAGTGCCAAGGCACCTCATGGGGGGTACCCTTGACGAGTTGATTTGGGATTGATTTTGGATAATTTTGAATACAGGTTTTGAATAGAAAAGAACAACCATTATTTTAGAAAATTTGAAGTTATCAAGGTAAGATCTAATGAGCTGGCAATATGAATTAGTACATGAAAGCCACCTCAAATAAAGCATGGACAATTTGTTTCAGCCCCATCTGGACAAATCTGGGTTTAGGGCCAAAAACATTTAGCTTTATTCAGGGTCAAACTCTAATTAGTGCCAAGGCACCTCATGGGGGGTACCCTTGACGAGTTGATTTGGGATTGATTTTGGATAATTTTGAATAAAGGTTTTGAATAGAAAAGAACAACCATTATTTTAGAAAATTTGAAGTTATCAAGGTAAGATCTAATGAGCCGGCAATATGATTAGTACATGAAAGCCACTTCAAATCAAGCATGGACAATTTTTTTCAGCCCCATCTGGGCAAATCTGGGTTTAGGGCCAAAAAAAATTAGCTTTATTTAGGGGGCATTTATTATTTATTTTGGGAAACATTTAGCTTTATTCAGGGTTAGTTTACAAATCGTAGGTCAACATTAACAACAATTCAACCAACTAAGATATGTTAGTATAATAACTAAGCCCCTATAATTAGCACATTAGTTAATGGGCTTTATAAACTAACAAACATCACTGGGGGTGCACCACCTTGTGATTTGTGAATCCCATGTGAGCGATGAAAATCTTCCGCCATAGCCGAGGCGATGTCCCGAGACGGCATGGCGCCGTCATGGTTACAGGACGCCATGATTTCCAACTTGTGGCCGTTTGAGCCGTGGAGGCTCCATGCTGGAAACTTTGACCAACATTTGCCGTCGAAAATCGCCAAGTTTTGTAAATATACCAGCACCATATGTAAGTTATTTAACGTTAACATCTAACCATAACATTAACATCTAACCAAAACATTAACATAACATTGAGCATGATGGTATTACTTAGTTTAGGGAAATTAAAATGATGATGATGATGATGATGATGAAGATGAACCATTAATACCATTCATCATTAATTACCACTATCAACCAGTATTAACCACTATCAATCACCATTAATCTGGGTAAATGATGATGATGATGATGACGATGATGATGATGATGAACCAAGCATTTTACGTTTACCATCTGGTTATTTAACACCGCCATGGAAAATCACCATTTTAAAGAACGGTAAGCCATCTATTTCTATGGGCCATCTATACCATGGCTATGTTAGTCATAACCAGAGGGTACCCTTTTTTTTAGACAAGAAGAATTGAAGAAAAAATCCCCGGAGCCAAGATTTTCAGCTTGGGATCTCAGCGAAATGTGGGATTTCATCAGCCATTTTGCGGATCTACAGGATGTTGCCCACCAGCTGTAAGTTGCTTTGTAAACGAATCATTACTATAGTTATCTATAGTTATATCTGCTATAAACCATAGATTTCAGCCGCTTTTAAGAATACCCTATGAATACTATAGTTATTTGCGTATCATAAACCATAGCTGCATAGCTGGTTGGTGGTGACTGGAACATGAATTTTATTTTCCCAAATAGCTGGGATGATGATCCAATCTGGCTAATATTTTTTTCAGAGGGGTTGAAACCACCAACCAGATAGTTACTGGAGGTACGTGCACCAACTTAGGTATCGTTTGGGGGGGCCACATTGTAACAAAGATGTGGATTTGAATTTTGGTTGAAGCTAGAGAATCTTCTAAGTGTGATGCCCTGTGCTGAAGATAGCGCTGCTAAAGCCTAAGATATAGTTTGATATTTTCAATAATATTTTAGGGGCTATTTAAACATGAAAAAATGTTTTGTTGGTTGATGATCGTTGCCATGTCATGGGGATATCATAGTAATATATCTGGGTAAATGCCATAACGACCGAACCCTGTTCTCCCGAGCCCTGGAATCATGGTTAGTAAGGCAAATCATCCCCAAATGGCCCAAGAATTCAGCTTAGTGAATTGTAATTCACCCAGATATATAAGCAATTCCAACGTCAATGGTCTGTTAGATAAAACTCAAACACTTATTATTCCCATTAAATCTCATGAAGTCCCATTAAATCAGATATATGAATCACGAGGAATGTATTTTCGCAGAATTGCCACCAGCAATCTGATGATTCACAGGTGATGCATCGCGGCCATCGGTGGATCACAGGGTTTCACCCTGGTTTCAGCCTGGTTGATTGGTAGAACTTCACCAACTTTTTAGAGGTTTCATGGTGTGAAACTGTGGAAGATATGGGGATTTAGACACTGGGATATCGTATGATGTTGATTTTTATGATGGTTGATTCTTGGCCAGTCTTGGTCTGGAAGGGAGCCTTTGCTTTCACATGAGCGAAAGATACTGTGAGATACCTTTAGAACCCTGAGTTGCCTTGATTGCCAGATGCGTCGCGTGTGCCACAGATTCAACGCGTCCTCAGCCGCACTTTTTCCCGCACCTTCGCTCTCCCTATGTCCAAAACGGTGTCTGGCGCGGAAGCCTTGGGGGCCGCGGCGGCACCGATGTACGATCCACTGTTGCCACCATGGGACAGGCCGGTCGACCTCCGACCAACCAGTGTAAACGGACGCTCCCCAGCGGGGGAGAGGCTGGATCAGAAGGTTCTCTTTCGCCAGGTTGCCCAACATTCAGCAGCGAATTTGCACCATCCGTTAATCAAACATGGCTTGCCATTTGTGGCGAAATTGCCTATAGATGATAGCTATTAACCTCCATTTGTGGGGAAATTGCCATTGCTATGTCTGATTACCGGAAGGTATAACCAAACCGGCCTTGGCCTATTTTCACCAAAAGGGCAACAATATTCGAACTAAAAACAAAATCACCACGACATCGTAAACTATAACGAGCCGGTCCGGTGAGTCCTCATTCCAGCCCAACCATGCCGAATTTCTGCTTAATCAAGGTCTTGGAAGCTTATTTGCATAGAAATCTTGTTGTTTTATTTCATCATATGGATATGGTTTAGTCATGCTTGGTTTTATTGAAATTTGATTTGATGGTGCTGGACCAACCGACAGATAATTCTACATATAGTAATCAGTATATGTTTGGTATACGTTAATTCTTGGTGTCTATTCTTACCTCACATCCTGTCCAAGCTGGTCCGGCTACATATTTACATATATATATATATCAAATTCATAATTCATTTGTCCAAACTTGTGGTGCCTCGTCATACCCATGTGCTCCATGTATGGTATATGTACGGCCAAACACCTCGTCTTGCCCGCGCCTGTTGGCCCGCCTTCTTCGTATGAGTTGAAACGTGGTAAAAATGAGATATTTTAGCATTATGGTTAACTTGATGTTCTTGATCAGAACGCACAGCAGAGGGACCTGTGCGGGTTCGTTCCACCACATCATCATCATCATCATCATCATCATCATCATCATCATCAATGAAGATCTTCAACGAATATAGAAGTTTAACCCCCATTAAAAGAATTAAACCCTTATTGAAAATCTTCAATGAATGTAGAATTTTAAACGGTGGTGGAAGAATTAAACCCGCCCTTATTGAAGATCTTCAATGAATGTAGAAGTTTAACGGGGGTGGGAGAATTACACCCTTTTCAAGGCCTTCAATGAATGTAGAAGTTTAACGGGGGTGGGAGAAGACTTCTATATTCTCTAATACCTTTGTTGATCTTCCCAAGACAAGAAGGGTGTGGGCGAAACGGGGTGTTTGCGCGTATATTTACCTACAAAACTGGGTGATTTTTAGGGCAAATGTTGATAAATATTCCATACATGGAGCAAATGGGTTTTAAACATGCCTGTTTGTTTTGCCTCGTCATCGGCCTCCCAAAAAAAAATGGGTCAAGCGCCTGGATGAACGACAGAAGGAAAGAGAAAAATCAACACACTTTTGAAACGTTCAATTGTTATCCTAAAACCATCTTAAACCCCAATGTTTCAACAATTAGACATTTAGTTGAAACCATGCTATTGCACGCTACTGTTGCGCGCATTTTTTTAATAACCCAGCTTCACATTTCATTAATCTTAGTAAAACCATGTCATAAACCACCCACATAAAATGATGTTTACCATCCATCTATTGTAAAATTGAGAATGGTGGATCCTATTTGTTTACTAATATTTATGGGATTTGATGTCATTTGACAATCAACAGTTGGGATAATGGGGATATTTCTCTGGTACACATAGATAATCACATGTATATATATATATACATACATATGTTTATTTATTTATCTGGATAATCATGATGATAACAACCTACCATTTTACCAATGGCTCAACACAGCGAGTCGCCATCCCAGCATCCCGCCATCTCCAGGAGGCACCCAGCTGCGCGTGCTGGTGTGGGATGCTGGCGGCGACGCTGGCCACGTTCTTCGATGTGAAGAGCTTGGCGTCGTTTCTGAACATTGGCGTCCTCCTGTCGCGCGGCGGACGCGGCGGAAGTCGGACGGTTTCGATGGGAAATCCATGGGAAATCCTGGGAAATTGGCATACCCTCTGGTGGCCAACATGTGAGACACACCTGCACCACTTGAACGTACCGCTTACCTTCTGGTAAACATACAAAAAACTATTGAACATGGCCATAGAAATAGTTGATTGTCCCATGAAAAATGGTGGATCTTTCCATAGTTATGTAAACGTTTACCCGAGGGTAATTTGCTGCTTTTGCCATGGGAAAATCCTAGGAAATGATGGTTTCATTCTATAGCAGCGCTGAAAAATGAGGCCCTGGATGGTCCAGAGGACCAAAAGATTGCCAACTTTTGGGGCGATGGATATAGTGATATTCACTGCTTCAATATATCCAGCATAAAGCCAATTGGGTTTATGTTTACTCAAAAGTAAAATGGTGGTTCAATTGGTTTTACCCGAAATGGTGGTTTTATATCCAGATATGATATGTTTACCAATTGGGCTGGTTGGTGGTTTCAAACATGACATATTTGTTTCCATATATTGGGAACAATAATCCCATTTGACGAACTCATACTTTTCAGAGGGGTAGGTTGAAACCATCAACCAGGCTTATGTTTACCAACTTTGCTAAATCCGCATTTGGGTGATTTTTACGGTAGGTAAATATTCCATACATGGAGCATCTGGGATACACATATTCCAATATTCCAACAATAATTATGTTCCAATATTCCAATATATATATAATTATATATATATATATTCCTTCAGATTTCCTGAAGTTAAAACCACCATTTCTGTTGATTCAACTCCTCTATTTTTTCAGCTTTTGGTTCACCAAAAGCCTCCCGGGGTGAGGTCCTATGCCATGACCGCAGCCTCGGTTTTATTGATCAACAGCTGCAGCAAAAAAAGGTGCCTTGGTAAGCAATCGACCCGAGACGGGCATCTGAAACAATGTGAAGCCCATTCTGTGGACATGTTCAGCCCATGGAAAATGTTGTGTAGTTGAAATTCCATCCAATGTGAAGCCCATAGAAACAGTGGATGTTGTAGCCCATGCTGTTTCAATGTGGTTTCAACATGGAAGCAATGTGGGAAATCAACAGCCGAAGGCCTGTCATGTTTTCAGACGCCTCCTTTTTTTGCATAATGTACCCAGGTTAGTCCATAGTCTGTTGATGGTTTCCCGGCCTGGTAAACTAACGTTTACATAACGCACTGGAAAGATCCACCATGCTATCAATGGGAAAATCCACTATTTCTATGGGCCATGGCTTCAAGTTCGCAAACTGTAACAGTCATTACCAGAGGCTTTTCATCCATTACATCCCATATGAAATCACCATAGAAATACTTGATTTTCCCATGAAAAATGATGGATCTTTCCATGGTTTTCCCATGAAAAATGGTGGTTCACCCATGAAAAAACGCATGAAATCCACCCGATTTCCATCATTTTTTGCGGCGAGATCCCAATGCTTTGGGATAAAGCCATATGTTTGCACAGTTGAAGTCTATCCCATGAGTACGAACACTCTGATATTCAAATACTGGTTGGTGGTTTGGAACATGATTTTTTCATACCCTCAAGTTGGAAGGTTCTAGAATGCCCCCCCCCTGGGTATAAACACGGAGGGTTCTAGAATGATTTTTTTTCATTGTAGAACCCCCGGTCCCGTAAGCATTGTAGAACCCTGGAAGCTTGTATAATACAGTATAATATTTATATATATATATTTAAATATATTATAATACCATATGATGATGTATCTGTACGATTTAATTCGACGTCACGACGTCACCCCGAATTAACGAGGCATAATTTTGAAATTAAGGGGATATGCACATAAAGTATCTAACCCTTTGCCTTTACCCCTGTCAAGAGGCGTGACAGCTCCTGTGCAATCAGTTTTTGACCTTTTTTGTTTCGCCGAAAGTTTTCGATTGTCGGCTGGATGAGTTTGACTGTCGTCACTCTACGTTTCTTCGTTGCCTCCACTTCCTGTTGGTGCTCCTTGTTCAGACTGATCAAAGCTTTCAATGCGTCCTGCCAATGGGCAATCTGACCGTTGATGTCACTACTGCAGGACTTAATGTAGGGAAACACCAGTCATAGCATACAGGGAGGTCGGCCCTTTAAAAAAATGAAAAAGTATATATCTCGCGACTATGTTTATGCTTGAAATAGTGTTGAACGGTCTCCCTTGGCTAAAGGTAGTGTAGCACTAAAACTATGTGTTCTGAAATGGAATCCATGGGCCACAGATGTTGAATCACACTTTGGTACATGAAGGAAACCATTCTAGAACCCTTCCCTCCTCTCCACCAGAAAAAAATGGGACATTCCAGATCAATGTGTTTCCAAACAAACTGTTGGTATTATAGACAAATGCTGAAATATCATAAAAAAAACTAAATAGTTGTATTTCTCTGCAACGTTGTTAAGGCCTTATTTGATTTTATTTGACCTTCTGTGTATAGAGCTACATCTATGTGTTCTGAAATGGAATCCATGAGCCACAGATGTTGAATCACACGTTGGTACATGAAGGAAACCATTCTAGAACCCTTCCCTCCTCTCCACCAGAAAAAAATGGGACATTCCAGATCAATGTGTTTCCAAACCAACGTTGGTATTATAGACAAATGCTGAAATATCAAAAAGAAAAACTAAATAGCTGTATTTCTGCAAGGTTGTTAAGGCCTTATTTGATTTTATTTGACCTTCTGTGTATAGAGCTACATCTATGTGTTCTGAAATGGAATCCATGAGCCACAGATGTTGAATCACACGTTGGTACATGAAGGAAACCATTCTAGAACCCTTCCCTCCTCTCCACCAGAAAAAAATGGGACATTCCAGATCAATGTGTTTCCAAACAAACTGTTGGTATTATAGACAAATGCTGAAATATCATAAAGAAAAACTAAATAGTTGTATTTCTCTGCAACGTTGTTAAGGCCTTATTTGATTTTATTTGACCTTCTGTGTATAGAACTACATCTATGTGTTCTGAAATGGAATCCATGAGCCACAGATGTTGAATCACACGTTGGTACATGAAGGAAACCATTCTAGAACCCTTCCCTCCTCTCCACCAGAAAAAAAAAGGGACATTCCAGATCAATGTGTTTCCAAACAAACTGTTGGTATTATAGACAAATGCTGAAATATCATAAACTTTTGAACCCTCCTACCCCTTTCCAACCCCTAACACAAAACAGGGTTCTAAAATGGTTTACACCCAAGTTGGAGGTCACAACCCCCTGAAAACCCTGATGGAAACCATTTCAGAACATCCCTTGATTGGATCCAAAGTTGAAAATGGATGAAAATGAAAGGAAAAAAACATCTACCATCTTTCCAGAACAACCATTTTGAATCATTGTGGGCAATGTTTCCAAAGAAAGTTTGATGAGACTTGCATCTGATCTCACAACAGCTACCCCAAGCCCTATCAAATCTCATCCCCAAGCAGCCTTTGGACTGCTCTTCCCCAGAAGGCATCGGTTCTTTGGATTCTTTCTTCCCTGGCAGAGGTGTGGGTTCTAAAATGGTTTACACCCAAGTTGGAGGTCACAACCCCCTGAAAACCCTGATGGAAACCATTTCAGAACATCCCTTGATTGGATCCAAAGTTGAAAATGGATGAAAATGAAACAAAGATAAAATCATTTACCATCTTTCCAGTGTATGATTTTGGGTTGTTTTTTGAATAGTTTTGTGGGGAAAGAATTGGACAAATATCGTTGAGGAATTACACTTTTGAACCCTCTTACCCCTTTCCAACCCCTAACACAAAACAGGGTTCTAAAATGGTTTACACCCAAGTTGGAGGTCACAAACCCCTCAAAACCCTGATGGAAACCATTTCAGAACATCCAGGCTGAGGGACACCTTGATTGGATTCAAAATTGAAAACGGCACCAAGGTGGAAACATTTGCCCAAACAAATACCTTTCTCATTTTTTGTTCAGGAATGGTGGAATGTAGCTCGTGAAAGTCACTGGTCAATCAAACCACACCAGAACCCAGACCCTAACTAGGCGCGCAAATGGCCTTCAAGCTCTGTCTTCTTCAGTGCCACAGCCTTCACACCTACCCAACTTCTGAACAGAATTAAACAGAAGGATCCAGCCCCATGTCCATGGATTACCTCACGCCCCTTTTTTGTGACTCATGTTTTTGTGCTTCAAACCATCTCCAGTTTTTTTTCAGTGCATAATCGAGTATATAAAGTTTTGGATGATTTTTAATGATTTTTTTAAGGGTGGAAGATACCATTTCAGAACCCATTTTAGAACCCAAAAACGGAATAGTGGCCAACAATTTTAGGTTCTAAGACCCCCCTTGTAGATTCCATTTTAGAACCCATATTTGGGTTCTAAAATGGTCCCCAAGGGGGGTTGAAGCAACTTGAGAGGATATTTTTTCCATATATTGGGAATAATCATCCCAACTGACTTTCATATTTTTCAGAGGGGTAGGTATACCACCAACCAGCTCTGCTATTCAAATAATTTCAAATATGGTTTGCTGGAAAACCCACCATTTCGTTTCATGATTTCTCTCGCTCAGTTGCCTCCATTTTGTTCGGGGATTTCCCAGCTAGCCACTAGCAGCATTAGCAAAGGTATTCCTTACAGTTTCCCTATGAATTCCAATCTCTAGATTATTCATTGATACATTCTTTATCGATCCCCTTTAGATATTCCAATATATTCCAATAATATGTTCCAATATTCCAAGATATATTTATATATTCCTTTAGATTCCCTGTATTTACATATATATATACACATTCCAATCACATATTCTTTTTACATTCCCTACACATTTCCCATAGATTCCAGGAGCGTCCCCTGATGCTCGTGGCTGCGCTGCTGTCGGGCCTGCTCTCCATGGGTGGCACATGGCAGCTCGACTGGTTACGATTCTCATAACATGAACATCTAGCCGTACTATGCTTAGTTACTTAACATTAACATCTAACTGATCATCTAACCATAACATAACCATATCATTAACATTAACTTAGTTACTTATACTATGACATCTAGCCATAGCATTAATATGATCTAGATGACTATAGTAACATTAACATCAGCTATATGACATAACATGAACGTCTAGCCATACCCATATGCTCCATGGTGCTGGAATATTTACCAACATTTGCCCGAACAAAATCACCCAGTTTTGAAGGTAAATATGCCAGCACCGTGGAGCATATGGGATAGTATACTTAGTTGCTTAATTTTAACATCTAGCCATAACACTAACATCTCACCATAACATGAACATAATATTGAGCATGATGGTACTACTGAGTTACTGGTTACAATGTTTTGTCCTGCTATTAACAACTAATTAAATAACTATGGTGTGTGTTTTAATTTCCTTTCAAGTGCAGTATATGATAATTCATGATGATTAAGTATTTGTTACTGTATATCTCACCATTGGTTACAATTACCATGACATTGATCCAATATCAGTATTCCAACATTGATAATCAAAAGTAACATTTGCCGCAAATCCCATCATTATGACCCCAGGTGGTGCCCCAGTTGGCTAAGTTGCCCAGCGATCCCAGTTCCAAGGTGTACCACCAACAGTAGCCTTAAACACAACTGGTTGGTGGTTTGGAACATGATTTTTTTCCATTCAGTTGGGAATTTCATCATCCCAACCGACGAACTCCATCATGTTTCAGAGGGGCAGGTATACCACCAACCAGACAATGTAAGCACCCCAAAAGCACATGGTAAAGACATTTTCGGGCCGCCTACAGTGAGTATAACCTTTGATGGAGACCTACGAACGAGATCTTTTGACTAAACAGCAGATGTTAAAAGGGCTATCCTGCAGATTGGCCATGGTTTTGGATGGAAAATTTGCGGTACATCGAGCAAACGTGTCTTTGTGATTGTCGTGTCTTTAGTTTGTTTGTTGGTTAATCAAGTCACCATTTCTTTGGTTGAGATGCTTGGTATCCAACTCTGTGCCTTTGATATGTATATATATACACATATTTATATATACAGGTAAATATATATATATATACACAAGTAATATATATATATATATGTTTGCAGGTATATAATACATATATATATATATGTATATATACTCCTTTAAAGATGGTTTCACCATATGTATCTCCAGTTCTTTCCTTCTTACTTGTTTTGTCGTATGTTTTGTCACTGGTCACCGATGAATCATCAGTTCGCCACCATGTTTCAATCTGCCTGAGGGGGTTGGTCGGTGGCATTGGCATGTGCTGCTTTCTGGTTTTCGTTCAGCTTACCTGTGGTTACAAGCGCCTTGGTCGGTATCCAGGTGGTGCCAGATTCCCAACCAAGCGAGAACATGGTGAACATGACTCATCATAACGAAAAAAAATCGCGGGTTGATTCGGTAGGGGTTTAGACGGTTGCAGATATATCGAACTAGTTTCTATGGTTCATGTAGTACTCATGGGACATGATGGGGTACAGTATATGTTTAATTACATATATATATATATAACCGCAATAGGGAATGATCTAATATGTTTTCTATAATCGGATGAATTTACCCTCCAGTAAACTCACAGTTTGCTACGGAAAATGTTTCATTAGTATAGATGACCGTCATGAAAAGTCGATGGTGACGCTCCACATTTTACCAGAGGGTAAGGTTCATCCCGGAGTCTGGTCAATCTGCTTACTAATGCTCCAGCGGCCCTAGGTAGTCGACAAGTGCCCAATGACTTTGTTATCCCAGGTTTCATCCTACAAAGGACTGATACCCTCTGGTAAACATACAAAAAGCTATGGAAAATGGACCATTTATGGATGATTTAGCTATAAAAATGCTGATTTTCCATAGTTTTTTGTAGGTTTACCAGAGGATACTTATGCTTGTTGCAACATCACGATTTCACCGATTGGGCAACTGCAGGGATAGAGTTGTTTATCCATTTCGAAAAACTTTTTTTTTGCAGGGTGAGATGACTATCCAAACATACCTTGGCCATTCCTTTGGGTAGAGTTTCTGTAGTCGGAAAAGTTGAAACCTGCGATCATGCATGATTCTAAATGAATGAATGAACGAAGATAGATACATTTCAATACATTTGATACATGATATATGTGTATACACAAAGTTGTTGGTGTTGCAACGACACATACATTGTATTCGGCAAAGCCCTTTGACGTTAGTCTCGGCAGGTCTCATTTGGGCCGGCTGTGGTCAGCACGCCTCCATTCAAATTCCTCGTTTCTTGTTTCAGTAATTCCTGTTGGTCAATTCCCATTGTTTGCTGTTGTTGTTGTTGTTGTTGTTTAAACCACCATTTTTGACGGTTAAGCCAACCTTTTGTGATTGTTAAAAAAGACTTGTTGATGATGTTGTTGTTGTTCTTCTTCTTCTTGTTGCTGCTGTTGTTGTTGCTGTTGTTTGCAATTCTGCACGCATTCCTTGGGTTGGCTGACATCCTTGCTTCGACCATTTCTTGGTTTCTAGATTCCACATTTCCCAAGAAAGTCTTGGCTTTGTTGCTTTATATCCAATGTATATACAATGATTTAGTGAAATAATTTAAGATGTTTTGCTCAACAGACCCAAATCCATGATCCATTGATCCATAAACGATATGTTTACCAACTTAGCGTTGACAATTTCTGTGGCACCACCTTGTACAAGCCCAGTACAGCATATGTTAATTAGCCAGTTATACCCGAATTGAAGCCAAACTACTCTAGTACAGTCCATTACAGTCCAATACCCATATGCTCCATGTATGCAATATTCACCAACATTTGCCCGAACAAAATCACCCAGAGTTATATAGGTAAATATACCAGCACCATGGTTCGCATATGGGATACTCAACCAGGTTTTACCCATGTCGGCACGGGACTCATCCGGCGGTCCTCCCTAGGTGTGGCCCTCCAAGTACCTTCAAGTGTCCTGGGATTCCCTTGACGCCCATGGTCGCGCTCGCCTCCAACGTGTCCCGGTGCAGCTCTTAACGGCGCAAATTCTGCCCCAGAAATTGTGAAGTTGGTGGTTTCAAACATTTTTGAGTTTCCATAATATATGGGATAATCCTTCCCATTGACAAACTCATATTTTTCAAGATGGTTAAAACCACCAACCAGTTGTGAGCGTTACCCTCTAATCATTTAACATAGTGGAAAATGGCCAAAAATGATGATTTATGATGATTTACCTATTCAAAAATGTGATGTCTATATTGAAATAATCAAAGGGTAATTTTGATGGAGATTTAGTGGAATTGAATGGGATTTAGTTGGCCAAATCTAAAAGCAAAACACAAAATATGATGGAGATTTAAATGTATATAAAGTTTCAGCAACACTGAGATTTTATGGTAATAAGTTGGCAAGCATAACTCCCATAACTCGGCTTTATGGTAGATACCCTCTGGTAAACTAACATAACTATGGAAAGATCCACCATGTTTAATTGGAAAATCAACTATTTCTATGGCCATGTTCAATAGCAAACTGTTTGTTTACCAGAGGGTATCTGGACCCTTTTGGCAACATGACTATGGCTTTATGAACAGGGCTTATTAACAGCCCAACAGCCCAACATCCCAACGGGGGCCTGGTGAAACGTTGTCACCGTGGCATCGGGAAAATCACACGTCACGGGGCGAAGATGTCACGGAAGATGTGCCGTTCCCCAAAGCAGTTGAATGTGCTGGTTGGATGACGCACAATGGTGAAATAGTGATTTAATAGTGATATGATAGTGGTTAATAGTGGTTAATCTGGTTATAGGGATTGGGATAGGGATATATTTATATATACTGGTTGGTGATTTGGAACATGAATGTTATTTTCCCCAATAGTTGGGATGATGATCCAATCTGACGAACTCATATTTTTCAGGGGGGTGGCTCAACCACCAATTAGGTGATGGTTGATTGGTTATGAAGCTAGAGAGCAATACTAGCTGGGTTATTCGGGATCATGAACTACAGTAGGGAAACCAATATGAACCAGCTAGTATAATGCTGATTGGTGGTTTGGTTATTTACAATGCATTAGCCAAGTTGGTTTATAACTATAATAACAAGAGTGTGTGATACTTACAATTTCTGATTGGTGGTTTGGAACATGAATTTTATGACTTTCCATAATATTGGGACTTTCATCATCCCAACTGACGAACTCATATTTTTCAGAGGGGTAGGTATACCACCAACCAGGTTTGATATTTTGTACCCCATTCGTAGATTCAGAGAAGGTAACGTTTGTATGGTTTAGTCATTCTTGTTGTATGCCGGTTTCGTATGTTGCTGCACGTTCCGACCTTTGAGCGTTGGTGTTGATTTGCTTTATGTGTTGCAACATTATGTATCTTGACATACCCTCTGGTAAACTAACATAGCTATGGAAAACCACCATTTTACATGGGTAAATCAACTATAAATGGCAATTTTCAATAGCAAACTGTTAGTTTACCAGAGGGTATCTTGACCCTTTGGCAACATGACTATGACTATGACTAGTTTCAGGGCAATGATCAGTGAGAACCGGCTGAGGTATATTTGATGTGCCACTTGAGTATCTTGGCTGCGGCATGCCACGAGTAATGTGTGGTGGTGCCCGTGTTTGTTGCTAAAAATGACTCCGATTATATAAATATAACTATGTCTACCATAATAAAAGAAGGAAGGTAATATAAATATATAGTTATATCTACCATAAACATCCATAAACGGGAGGGACTCCTAAACCAACTTAGCCAACGAACTGGAGCACAACCTTGTGAAAGGTTTCCTAAAACAGCGGACCCCAAAATCCTCCGAGTGCTTGGTTTAATGTTTCTACAATGGTGACAATTGCTTCAGGTACCTGAATTTCGAGAAACATCCGAATGATTGGTGATATCCCAGGCACTTTGAAATCTTTCCACTAGTTGATACCCTCTGGTAAACTAACATAGCTATGGAAAATCACCATCTTTAATAGGTAAATCAACTATAAATGGGCCATGTTTAATAGCTATGTTAAATTACCAGAGGTTGGTTCTTGCTTCTTGAGCTCTCAATTTGGGTCTCGATCCTTGGATGTTGGTGCTTTCAACAGCCGGTTTAATGTTCATCTCAAGAAATTGTATTACCCTCTGGTTATTTAACATAGCCATGGAAAATGGCCCATTTATAGATGGTTTACCTATTACAAATGGTGATTTCCCATGGCTATGTTAAATAACCAGATGGTATCCTATCTGACCCGAAGCCAGTTGTGAGCTCTGGTTTGTTTCAGGCCCCAAAGCATGGGGTTAACATGCTTATAGTACCTGCAGATGAGTTTTAAGGAAATTAAAAGAATTTAAAAGATTCTAGAGGAATTTAAAGGAATTTACCTGCCATTTCCCATCTTGGACGTCTGTGTCTTCCTGGAAGTCCCATGTCATGTGTAAATTTGATCACTTATTCCCATGTCATCTGTCAATAAAATGGAAAAATACCTGCCCGTTAGGTCGGCTCATAACTCCCATGTCATATGTTTAAAAAAAAAATCCATAGCAAAATCGATACATAAATCCTATGTAATGTGCCAAAAAACATCGGCTAAATTGGCCGCAAAGTCCCGTGTCATTTGCGCCTAGTATAACATGTCAAGCTGCAAATAGCATCAGGGCTACTTCACTGGCCTGATGCAACTTCTGCGGCCATTCGAAAGACTGAGGAAGTCCAAGATTCCTGCGCAACATGGGGTAGCATAAACCGGAGTCAACCGATTCAGACTCATTCAGAACCTCATTTTCCCTGGGGAACCCACGAACCAATTTTCCAATTTTTCCCTAGTTTCCCCCATGAATTTCGGTACCCACATCGATTTCCAGAGATTTCCCTAAATCCACGAAGGTCACCACGCCTGGCTTCGGTTGTTGGTGGTGAGTTTGTTGGTCTTCTTCCTTCACAGCGCTTGTGTCTGCTTGGGCATTCTGGATCCCAAGAAGGCGCCGTTGTCCGAGCCGAGCCTTCTTGGGATTCCATAGGAATTTTTAGTAGGGATTTCACCACGAGAAATGGTGGTAGAATGGGGATATCATGGGGATAGCTGGTGACCCAGGTGATTTGTTGAGTAGGTTTATAACTAGCTTAGGGCCTGTTACCCAGATGCGAACCATGGTGCTGGAATTTTTACCAACATTTACCCGAACAAAATCACCCAGTTTTGTAGGTAAATATAACATACATGGAGCATATGGGGGTTGAATTTATGGTTAGACAACTCGTCGAGGTTTTAAAACCAACTGATTGCCTAGCACCTTGGAAGAAATGGGGATCCCCCCAAAAAAACACACCTTCACATAGATGAGGCCTAAGATACATTACTAAGAGATATTGAGGGACCAGGGGAATCCACCACCATCAACCCTTACCCGGCCTGGTAAACTAACATAACTGTGGAAAATCACCATGCTATTAATGGGTAAATGCACTATGAATGGCAATTTTCAATATAGCTATATTAGTTTACCAGAGGGTGTTGTTTTTTTTTCGCCCCTAAAGCTGGACCTAATTATAGAGTTTGTCCCTGAGGATCATGAGCTCTCAGATGAATGTTGGCTACCGGTCAAAATGGAAGAGCCTGGGGTTTCAAAAGAAGACATCTCCAGATTCAGCGGAATATGGCGCCCTTTTTTCAGCGTTTGCTAAGTTGGTTGATCAACGGGGGATACAGCGAACAAAGAGGAGGCCCACCTTGTAGGAATAGTAGTATCTATGGGGGGGTTCCTGGGTGTACCCCCAGTCATCATCCATTGATGGATTTTCCATGAAATAAACCATCCAGCTAATTATTGGGGTCCCTCCATGACTTAGGAAACCCCCGGATATAGGAAAGAATTGAAGTTCCTTCACATAAGATGAAGAAACCTTGGTGAAGAATCCCCTAGCAAGGAGCTATTTGGAGGTTTCCTAAAATAGGGGTACCCCAAATGAATGATTTACAATGGAAAATCTTACTAAATTGGATGATTTGGGGGTACCCCTATTTTAGGAAACCTCCATTTCACAAGTGGACATGGCTGAGGCATTGACTGTAGCTGAGATGTGAAATTCCATAAGGTCGTGCTAGTGTCAGATGCTTCAAACCCAATGGCTATGGAGTCAGTTCCCCCTGGTACCCTAACCCAAAAATAGCTGGCAAATTGATCATCCTCTCCCCCTGAAAAGTGGGAAATTCTCGGGCTTTAAGCCCCCAAATCTGAAGACTTTGGTCAACATAGCTGGAAGATCATGCCCAAGGCAACTCCGGTGACCGCTTATGCCACTGATGGCACCACTGGAAGAAGTGTCAGACTGGGTCGCGATCGGAGTCGCGGGATGGGCCGCCCGGCCAAGGCGAGGTCCTCCAGCCGCGGAGGCGGCGCAGCCCAGGGAGGCCATGACGCTGTCTGCACTGTCGTGGTCCGCTTCAAGATGAAATCAGATGTGTTGGACTTCGCTGCAGGTGGCGCGCTACTGGAGCCTCTTGAATGCCCAGATTTCAAGGGTAAGTCGAACTCAATGGATCTTCAATGGGACATAAATTTTGGAAAGTTCCAGACCAGAGTGTCAGACTGGTAAATATCACCATGCAGAGGGTGTTTTTGTAAAACTGGGAACGACCTTCAAATCTTGATCCACACCGGGGTTCTGTACCATTTTGCGTTGTGAAAAACATGTTCGGAGGAGTTGTAAAAGTGTGTCACGTGAAAGGAAACTCTATGTGTCTAGGCTAAAAAATGGTGTGTAGGATGGAACATAGATGATAATATCATATATGATATATACATGTATATATATGATAATATCATATGATATATCATATATATCTAGATGATTCTAGATATGGAAGTGAATGATAATATATATACTATGTATCCTTGCCCATTCTGAAGTCATTCCAGATGACTGATTCAAAAAAAATCAGATGAAAACTTGCATGATCAGAAAATCATAGAAAATCACCCACCATGGATCGGTCCCACAGTACCACCATAAAATCTCATGGTTTACACATGGTTTACACCATGGAGATCGCCCGAAAATCCCTTCGGATTTTCAGGACCGCCGGCGACACGTCTGCAAGACCATCCACTCAGTAGCTCGGAGACCGATAGCAGACCGGTGGAGCAATGGCATGCAGAAAGCTGGTCTCCTGGTCTCCCCCCCAAAAAAATGCAACGAGGACAGAAATGCTGATCCCATATTAGCTCACCATGGTGCTGGTATATTTACCTACAAAACTGGGTGATTTTGGACAATGGCAAATGTTGGTAAACATTCTCAGCACCATGGAGCATATGGGGATGGTTTCATGGCACTTCCATGGTGATGTTCATGGGATTTTATGGTGATTTGATGGGAGTTCATGGTGATGTGACATCTGACACAGATGTAACTACGAACAACAGGGATGGGAATTTAAGCAATCACCCAATTCTACTTGCTGATTAATAAGCCCCCCATTACCCTCCGGTAAATTAACATCACTATGGAAAATCACAATTTGTAATGAGAAAACTCACTATTTCTATGGCCGTTTTCAAGTTCGCAAACTGTTAGTCATTATACCAGAAGCTAAATCCCATTACATCCCATTAGTCATCACCATAGAAATAGTTGATTTACCCATTATTCAGATGATGGTTTTCCCAGTTAATCCATGAAAAATGATGGTTTTCCCATGAAAAATGATGGGTTTCCCATAAAAAATGATGGTTTTCCATCGTTTTTTGAGCCACGATAGTTCGATGGAAACGATCCCCCAAGAGATCCCAAAGTCCTGTCCAGATTTTTGGCTGGTCCACCGTAGTCAACCCACTGTTGGAGTTCAACACATACACTGGTGAATAGTGATGGTTAATAGGGTTTAAAATAGGGTATAAACCAACAAAAATAGGTTATACATGATGGTTATATTTCTGGTTGGTGGTTTGGAACCATGGATTTTTATGTTCCATTTCATATATGGGATATATAATCCGAAACCCATTGACGAACTCCATCATTTTTCAAGATGGGTATATGGCACCACCAACCAGAATGTAATATACGTCAACATGAGATAAATAAGTGTAATATACGTCAACAGAGTCAACAAGAGATTGCTTCTCCAAGAAAAAATGAAATGAAAATCATCACAGTTCAGCAATGCGCGAGGATGGTGTTGAGGGAACTTAGTGTGGGTAAGTTTTGGACAGTTCCAATCAACATGTTTGTTGCGATTTGAACTGGTGTAGATTGGATCCAAGTAGGGTAAAATGTTGCAAGAAGACATACCACAAGAAGGTGCTCTTTTTTTTAAGCCAAGTTGGTTTCAACCCCATGAAAACTAGTTACTAGTTCAATATATCAACCATGAATCCTTGTTAACCCATAGTTACAGTTATAAACCTACAGTTATGGTCATTTATTAGTTTTAAGTACTAAGAAAATCCCCTCGAAATAGAATGTTTTTTTTTTTTAATCCCATAGAAATAACCAGTTACTGGTAGCCATGGTACCAAAACTGTACCTGGAGCTAACAAACCATTGGGTGCCACCAGGTATGGTTGGGGTTGCATCGGTTGCATCCCCATGACTGGCAATCAAGAACTACTCACAATGATTGTTGATAATTATGTTCAAATCCCCATTGAAACTCCATTGTCTATATATGTAGATATATCATTAAATAGCAGTTTATATATTATATATGTATATATATGATTATATATGTATACATATATATATGATTATATTTCATTAAAACATATTATATATCATTAAAACATGTTTTCAATGCCCCTGTCATGTGGCAAATCCACGGGCCTCTCCCTGCAGGTACAACACAAGACAGGGGCCTCACATGGTTTGGGTGGTCCCTGCGGAGAGAGCTGAAAGGCGAGATGGGCTTGGAAGATGATCTTTGGAGGGGCCCCAAACATTGTAATTTGGTTCATAAACCCCATGAATACTATAGTTGTTTGCGTATCATAAACCATAGAATTCAGCCACTTATCTTAGGCAACTGAACGTTATGTAAGGAGCCCCACATTGTATATATATATATATATAAATATGTATATATATATATAAATATGTATATATATAAATATGTATATATATAAATATATATATATATAAATATGTATATATATATATATGTATATATAGTTATATTATCATATAGTCATATAATGGTGGGGGGCAGCGGCAGTGTTGTTGAAGTCTCTTTTTTGCGGCGCAGGTGAATCCTCGGTGCATTCCGAGCGCTGGATTTGAGCCGAGTGGAACCAAAAGAGGTCGTTTTTGCCAACCTTTTGCAGTAGAAATGCTTCTACAATGTGGGGCCCGTTTACGATAGCTAAGTTGGTGCAAATCACTACAACCACTAAGGTTTATGGTTGTTATAACTATAGCTTCTGTCATTGGATTGGTTTATGGGAAAATTTACAGGAAACCCTTATATTTCATGGGGAAAACGATGGTTTCCTGTAGATTTCCCTTTCAACTTTATCATCCAAGGATTCTGGGTTTTCCAGAATAATCCCATCACCCTAATATGTGTAAATCTCTACTAGATCATGGTTTCTGGGAGCGTTTTATTTTTAGGATTACGGGATTACCAAGCCATGGAAAGGATTATCATACCTTGGATAAACCGGGAAGTTAGTAATCTTATTTGGTTGGTGGTTTGGATCATGAATTTTATTTTTCCATATATTGGGAATGTCATCATCCCAACTGACGAACTCCATCATTTTTCAGAGGGGCAGGTATACCACCAACCAGTTACCCTGTGGTAATTTAACATGGCAATTGAAAATGGCCCATAGAAATAGTGGATTTACCCATTGAACATGGTGATTTTCCATAGTTTTCCATAGGTTTTCCAGCTCTGACCACCAAAAATTTCTTCAGTTTCACCTCATGTCGCGGATCATCGCTACCAAGATAGCTAGATGAGCCATGAAAAACATCCCCTGGTTTTTCATTGATCTGTTGGGACTACCTAATTTATTGATGTTTATTGTGGAAAAACCAGGGGACTACCTAATTATTGGGGAATGTTGGGACATAAATAATAATTCTGCTATATGATCATACCTAATTTATTGATATTTATTGGGGAATGTGATGAAATATGTGATAATCATTATCATGGAACCTATCAAACAGCTGGACAGATGGGAGAACTGGCTCAGTTCTTCGCCCCTGTGTTCGTTTCAGGGGTAGAAGCAATGACCGCATGAGGTTGTTGGTGATTGTCAAAGGTGAGGTCCTACTGACACTAGATTGAATCATTTAGTCATATTTAGTCATTTCTATTCTATACTTCGCTTTTCATATATGACTCCTGGTTGGTTTGGAGCATTTTTATGACTTTCCATTAATATTGAGAATGTCATCATCCCAACTGACGAACTCACCAACCATCATTTTTCAGAGGGCTAGGGCTCAACCAAGCGGCACGGCACCATTTCCCACCACAGAGGTTGGATCGTTCGGTCCAGCAGCTGGCAGCTGCACGCTTTCAGTTGCAACAGATCGGCCTGGGGGCCTAGGGGCCTGGCCTTTGCTCAGAGCATCGACTGAGGGTTTCCTAAGGCATGCTGGTACCCCAATAGCTGGTTTATTTTAATTTATGTTCCATGGATGATTTAGCGGTAAGTTCAGTTTATTGAAATTCCTGTTTTTTTTAATTGATAACCTTAGGTAGGCTGTGTGATTCTAGGATTATTTTAGACTTTATGATTCTAAGGGAGGATTGTCAGAATTGCTATGTGCTGATCTTATTATGTAGGATTATAAATTACAATTATAAAGCTATGAATGTAGGAGTATCATAGGATTGAATGTGTTTATATGTACAGCTATGACTATCATATTAACACCATATAATCGATATCATGAATCTTATATTGTAGCCACCATGAAAAAGCCACATTTAAAGATTACCATCGCATAGCTACTATGATTAAAGAATGCGACACTAAATGTCATATGAAGTCATCATGGTCATAGCTAGTATAGTCGTTATATCATTGTCATCGTTGGCTATGGCAATCAGGACTAATGCTATCCCATATGCTCCATGGTGCTGGAATATTTACCAACATTTGCCCGAACAAAATCAATCAGTTCTGTAGGTAAATATACCAGCACCATGGTTCGCATATGGGTTACTAACCACTATTAACCAACCACAACCATCAATACCATGAATACCATTCATCATTACCACTATCAACCATTATTAACCACTATTGATCACCATTAATCGTGGTAAATTATAATAATCGTGGGACACAATGTCACAAGCCCAACCATTTGACCAGGGGATACATGCCAGTGATTCAGGGATGAGACCAGTCGACCAGCGACGATTTCGTTCGTTGTGACCCAACTGGAGTTCCAGTTCGTACAAGGTGGTGCCCCCCCCAGTTATAAATTGGTTATAAACCCATGAATACTATAGATATATATCAGCAACAAAAACCATAAGTATTGGAGTTATGTTCACCAACTTAGCTATCGAACGGGGGCACCACCTTGTAGTGAACAAAACCCTGCTTCAACCATGCTGGACCATGCTGATTTAATCTGCTTGGTGGTTTTGAACCATGGAATTTTATGAATTCCATAATATATGAAATTCCATAATATATGGGAATGTCATCATCCCAGCTGACGAACTCATATTTTTCAGAGGGGTAGGTATACCACCAAGCAGTAATTGATACACTAAATTCGTCCGGATTTTAAGGGTGATCCATGTCACTTCCTCCGGAGCCGTTTTCGCTCAGAACGACGACTTCCGACTCTTATTGTAGCTATCCCTTCGACGCAATGAAGTCAGTGATTGCTGCCTCCGTGATCGCTGTGACCGATGCCATCGTGATGCATGTGGGTGAGTCTGTGGGCTACAACTTTGGAGTCTTGGGACGCAAGTGGCGGATCCACTGGACTTTTTTTTGGGTGTCATTTGGGTCATGTGCCATTTATATACTAAATTTATATACTATATTTCAATCTACAATATTCTACAATACTCCCAATGTTTACAATGTAACAATCCCTACTAACCATTTGGGAGTAGTGTAGAATATTGTAGATCATCCCAAGTACACAATATAATAGTAAATCACAAGTTGGATCAAGCTGGGCGTGCTGAATTATATGGTCAAACCGCAGTCATGTTGCGGGTACAGTCGACTGGAGTTTTTGAGCCCTAGATTCTATACTGGTTGGTGCTTTCAAACTTTTTTCATCTTCCATTTCATATATGGGATGTCATCCTTCCCAACTGACTAATAACTCATATTTTTCCAGATGGTTATTGCACCACCAACCAGCCATGGCATGATGTCCTGACGATGAACAGATCCCACTTAAATAGCACAGATCCGTTGAACTTTTCCGAGATTCGACGCTGAGTCAAATCCCAAAAAAAAACTGCAAAAAAAACAGTCAGCAGATGTTGATCCAAGTCATTTTTTATAAGATCCAAGTGATGTTTGAAGTTTGATCCAAGTTGAATGACAAAAATCCGAAAAACTTTACAATTTCCAGTGATTTCAGATCCAAGTCAATTGATTTAAGATGTTCTCTTTCTTTAAAATTGTAATCTTCAATTACTAACAATCACTAAGATCTTCTGTCTTGGTTTACAATTTCCAGTGATTGTTTAGTAATTGAGGCAATCCCTGCCATGGGCCTAATCCAGACACCTTCCATACCTTAGGTACCTGAGACTTGGAAGAATACGCCACTTAGTACCTGCTTAATAACCCAAGTATGTCTCCTAAGTGAGTCAATTCATCTATAAATGGGTTATAAGTGATAGTCATAACTTTAGAACTCTAGCGGTTAGCCGCGGATCCTAAGTAGGTGATCCTCCAAGTAGGCGACCGATGACAAAATGTGTGGTCCGTCTATCTACATCACATTGGCGAGGTCCAACGTTTCCTAATATTGTTTGCTAAATACCCCATGAAATTACAGCATCTCATTGTCATATCCCATGATCAACTCAATCTCGTGCCAAATATACTGCTTTTACAATCCATTAACATCCATTATCCATTGAGTTAGTTATATGAATGGCCGTTATTGCATCCATATCCATGGGATATTAACATCCATGTTAAAATTAACATCCATTATCCATTGAGTTGATCAAGCCATTAATAATACCCTCTGGTTATTCAACATGGAAAATGGCCCATAGAAATAGATGATTTCCCAGCTATAAACCTCCATTTATGGTTGGGATTTTCCATGGCGATGTTAAATAACCAGAGGGTAAGTGGATATAACTATGATGCAACTGATAAATGATGCTGGATTGATGATTAGTTCGGGTGTTACACTCCAATGTTTGATTGGGGGATAACATCATGATCAAGCCATTAATAATACCCCTGGTATATCAGATGGTATAGTTATTAACAATACTGTTTATCAATAATTATTCTTAATCATATCCCTATTATAAATCCCTATTATCCTATCATATTATCAATAACCAGATGGTATCCCATGAATAATATCCCATTAATAACCATGAATTACAGCCAATAAATAATATCCCATTAAAAAAACAGCCATGGGCCAACCATCCTTGAGTTGATCCCCATCAACACCCCCATAACCAGGATCTGCCAAGTGCCCATGCGTGGGCTTGGCCGGCTTGGACGGAACGACCACAGTCACTTGGATCACTTGGCGGGCCGTTGGCTCGTTGGGGGTGACCATAGGAAGCAGCTGTAAATTCCATGACCATAGCTATGACTGGTTGGTGGTTTCAAACATTTTTTATTTAGCTTCTGGCCCAACGCCCTACCAGCTGGGGAAGCGGTGCAAGCCAACCGTTGGGTGGGTGTGGGCACTCGGTCATGGCAGCCATGTTGTGGGGTGACCCTGGAGTTGCGAGATCATGGAGGTGGAATCCAGATACACCACTTGGGATGAAAGTGGATCTGGTCGCAGACGTGGTGTCTTACAGTGGAGGTGGAGCATTGGTCAATTTGGTTCCTGGTGGTCCTCAGGCAAAGATCTTCGGTGTTCAGGTGCCATCAGATTGCTGCTGCCTTTCAGTTTACGATGCCAAGCTGCTGGACAAAGTGCCCTTCTTGGTATTCGATGTTTCTGAACCAACGGACGTGATGTACCATCGTCGATGCAACAGGGATGATCTCTTCAATATCACTGAACTCTGCTGTGGTATTGGAGTCGGTGCCTATGGTTTCATGGAGGCTGGGATGAAATTGGTCGCAGCGGCGGACTGGTCAGGACCATTTACAGAGGCTTTCGCTGAAATTCACCCTCAGGTACCGGTGGTTCATGGGAACATTTGTGACAAAGCCACGGTGACGAAGCTGCACAGTCTTCATGACAGGCCTACAGTTTTGATGAGCGGGTTTTCTTGCCAACCATTCAGTTCTGGCGGTCAGCAGCTTGGAGCGTTGGATCAAAGGTCCAATACGCTTGAGCAGAGCCTTTTGGTAGGACACATGTTGCGCAGTCCGATTTTGGTGCTGGAGTGTGTACAGGATGCAAGCACTAATGCCATGGTTAGGAACCAGGTAGATCGTTTTCGACTTGAGTGCGGGTTTCACCTTTCTGAAGTGACGCTGAAGCTGGAGGATGTCTGGGTTTCCAGGCGTTGCCGATGGTGGGCAGTCCTCTCAGCCAGTTTCATAGGTCCGATCCCCCTCAAAGCATTCGTGCAGTCGATGCATCCGGCCATTCCGCGTCATGTCCTGTCCAGTCCCGTTGTCTTGTCTCCTGAGGCCTTGAGTCAACTTGAACTGACAGGTGCTGAGCTTGAAGCTTTCCTCACCTATGAGCCGAACTTGTCCAAGTTGTTGCTGCGTTTGGACTCCAAAGGACCTACCGCTCTGCACTCTTGGGGTTCACAAGTGGTTGGATGTGAATGTTTGTGTCGGTCCAGCGGCTTCAGTGCACAAACCCTCTCCACCAGAGGTATCTTTGGAATTTTGCTTCCTGTTCAAGGTTCTGGTGCCTCTGACCATTTGCGTGTGCGTCACCCTCATCCGATTGAAGTTGGATTGCTCAATGGAGTGCCGGCCAACTCATGGCCTGATAATCTCAGGTTGATCCTTGCGGGCTTGGGGCAGATGTGCAGTCCTTTGCACACGGTCTGGATTGAATCCCAACTTCAACTGCACCTTGACATGGTCTTCAACGGTTCCAGCCAAGTTGATCCCCAGTATCAGTTGGACTCTTTGCGTGCCTTGGTTTTGGAACATGCCTTGGCTGTGGACTTTGAACCTGTGTTGCCAGCGGACTTGCCTGAGCCACCTGTTGAGCTTTCCATGGACTTGCCATTGGACGACCCTTCCCTTGCCCCGTGGTCCAAGTTCCGACATGAAGGTGGTGATGATTCAGTGACTCTTGTCCTTGCTGATGAACTTGTCCCACTTTGCTTCCGGCTCTCCGATCTGGATGACACTGTTGCAGCGGTCCTTGTGGCTTTCTGTGAGCTGTCTGGCCATTCTGCAGAGCGGGCTCGTGTAGTGGACTGTCAATCTGGCCTGACCTTGTCCCTTGGTCATCATGCTGCTGGCTTGTGCCTTTGGATTTCGCAGGACCCGTTGGAAGTTGTGCAACCGAAAGAGGAAAGTCTGCTGGCCGACCCACCGTCGACTGAACTTGATGACCCTGTGCCATCACCTGCAGCAGCCGATGAAGGTTCCCATGCTCTGATTGAGGTGCCTAGCTCTTCCAGCGTTCACGTGCCCGTCCGTCCTGAACCGTTGACTGCGTTGGACTCATCCCGTTTGGTCTCTGTCCCTCCGCCTGCTGTGTCAGATGTCCCGACCCTTGATGCCCTCCGACGCCAGTCTATTGACTCCAAGTCGCGCAAGCAAATCCTGGCCAATCAAGGCATCTTGTGGGCTGATGATGAGCTCATTTGGCATGTCTCTCAGATGTTGCAAGCTGCCCGCAAGCCATCCTGGGTCTTGCTGGATCCCGTGATCACAGCTGAAGCCCTCAAAAGACCAAGCAGTGGACTTATCTCTTCATGGCTTCGCACCTTGCCTGTCAAGCCTACGGCCATCCTTGGACTTGTCATGTTTGAAGGCCATTGGACTCCTTTCATGTGGACTTGGACTCCTTCTTGCATGATTGCGGCCAGTTGGGATATCCCTGGATCTCCACCGAAGGAGTTCTCTACCCTGCACACAGCTCTGGCTTTGGTCGTTGGTGCCCGGACGTACACTGCCCACGTCGTTCATCGGAAGTTTGCTGTGGACTCCTACTGTGGAATTTGTGCCTTGCGTTTCTTGGATAGCATGATCCGTGGCAAAATGCTTCCAACGGACTTGTCAGAGTGTCAGTACCTCCATTCGGTTGGTCGCTCTCTTTTTGTGGCCCATTTGGATTCCTTCCCTGAGGTGCCCCGTCCTTGGATGTTTGGAGCTGGTCTCGATGTCAAAGCTGCTGAGCGACTTCACAACTTGCTGCTTGAGCATGGTGTTGATCCCAACCAGGTCAAAGCCAGGTCAAACTTGCTTCTGCAGGCCATCGGAGTTGCCACTGCGCAAAAGGCCCTCACAGGTGGTCAGCCATGGAGGTCTTTGAAGCAAGCCGCTAATGGATGCAAGCCTGTCTTCCAACTGGTGTTGCCTGAGGAGCTGGAGCTTTCCGTCCAGAAGAAAGCAGAGCAAGGTGGACTGCGTGGCAAACGCAAGAAAGCAGCAGGCCCTTCAAAACCTCCCCCGAAGCCAGATGCACCCGCTGCCCTTGACCCACTGAAGCTCTCCATTGAAGAGGATACTTTTGTGGCTCCTGATGGTACTGTCTTGTCTCAGCTGCAGATGACCCACATTGGCCCTTTGGCTGCTGGCGTTGCCCTTGTCTCCTCTGATGAAGCTGCTGCCTATCTGAAGGCATCACAACTGGTCTCGCAAGGACCCTTGGCTCTTTTGGTCTTGAACGTCGAGGAGCTCACTGTGCCCACTACCCTTGCTTGGTGTTCTGTTCGAGCCGTCCTGCGTTGCCAAGCCAATGGTGAGCCTCTGATTGCCCCGTGTGTCCTTGTTCAGCTTGGTAAGTTGCCTGTGTCCCTCAAACCGGCTGAATCCCTGCCAGCTGTCATGCATGCTGAGGCCGCTTGTGTCAAGCTTGCCCTCTATCGTGATGCTATCGAAGGTGACTGGCAGCTGGTGGTGCAAAGCCCTGTCAAGTATGCCCTGGGTCTCCTTGAGCCGTTGCAGTCATGTCTGGCGCGTTCTTCGGGCGGTGTCTGTTCCTGTTTGAAGTGGCACCCTTCTCCTGATGACTTGGTTGCTGACCCTGTCATTGATGTCTGGCGTCGCCAATGGCTCTCATCTTCTTTCCGGCCAGTCGCTCCGGCACAAGCTGACATCTTCATTGTCAATGTGCGCATCCTGGAGTCTGTTTTTGATCGGGTTTTGACTTGCTCCGGCAGAGGTGGGCTTTTCCTTGAACCCCGTACTTTGGATGGTCGTGATCCTTTGTTGGATTTCCAGGTCATTTGGTTGGCTAGGACGCCCTTGGAAGAGCTCCACAGGCTCCAACAATGCAATCCCCAAATCCGAGGCCTTGCCAGACTCGGATCCAGACTTGGCATCCGATGCCGGGTCATTGATGCCCCTGACCTTGCCAAGACCTTGAAGCCGAACTCGGTCTTCCTCGCTGCCGGAGCCAAGTTGATGTTCGAAGTGGGGCCGCTGCCTTTTGGCATGGACAGGCTCTCTGTGAGCAAACTCTGTGGCAGCTGGCAGTGGCAGGCCAGGCCGCTGCATCCAGCCCGGGCAGCTGAAGGACATCTGGGCAACATCTGGTTGGTGCAGTCGAGCGCTCCGCCGCCCCAAACGGTGGTGAGATACCAAGGCAGCGAGATTGTCATTACGTCGGTCCCAGACAAGCAGCCAGCGGCGAGCCCCGTCACTCCCAAGGTTGTTGGCTCTGTCGCCACTGTCAAGATGTGTTCAAAAGACGCTGCCCCTCCTGGGCTTGATCCTTGGATTTTGAATGACCCTTGGGCCCCTGCTGGTGTTTCTGTCCCTCCAAAGGCCGTCCAATCTGCTGATGCCTCACTGAAGGACTTTGAGTCCCGCATCGAAAAACCGATCCTTGCAAAGCTCCCATCGCCTGGAATGGAAGTTGACAGCACAGGTGAGCAGGAGGCCAGGTTGATTGCCCTTGAGCACCAGGTCCATGCCCTCACAGCTGGCCAGCAACAGTTGGATCAGAAGGTGGAAGAAAGCATCTCACGTCAGGATTCTCAATTCCAGACGTTGCACACCCAGGTCAACCAACAGATGGAATCACATGGTCATCAGATGCAGGCACTCTTTTCGTCGCAGATGCAGCAGATCGAGGCCTTGCTTTCCAAGAAGTTAAGGACTGAATGACGGTTCCGCCACGCCCCTGATCTCTTCAGGGGTGGTGGCCCCTGTCCCAGGTCTCCCTGGCATGCTTGGTTCCTGCTCCTTTGGATCCTTCTGGTGATCGTTTGTGGCCCTGTCCTTGAGTGCATGGTTGGCACCCGTTGCATTGGGTTTTGGCTTGGTAGCAGCACGTTCTGTCCTTGCCTTTTGACTGCCTTGCGTATGGTACCTTGGCTCCCTTCGTTGCTCTGGTGTTCCCTGTTGGCGTTGCTCAGCTTCTTTGTGCTCCTCCTTGCACAGGTGATGACCAGTCGATTTTGGATTT